TTTTTATGATATATTCGTTACTGTAGGTTGAAGATCTTTCAAGGATGTTCAGGCTCCTCTCTAGGATTAATGGTGACCTGCCTCCTGTATCTAAAATATTCCAGGAGGTATCTTCTATGCTGTATTGCATTGCACATTTAAACAAGTTCACTTCTAAACAAATTCTATTTTCTATGCTGTATCTTCTAAAATATTCCAGGATGTAACACTGAGTGGGTCAAAGAGTTAATGTTGCTTAAGGCCTATCAAAAAAATTGATTTGATGCTATTGACATCTCGTAGCTGTTCTTTAGTAAATATTTTAGTGAAAGAAATAACTAGCAAAGTGTATTCAGATTAATGATACAAGATTTCCCTGATATATCAGTGTACAATTTTATCTATAATACTGTACAAAAATAAAAATGTATACAGTTACATTAATTTGCCGTGTCCTTGCAGGCTCGGCAACCTGCGGAGCTGACTGGTTGGTTTTTTATTTTCAAGAGCTGATCAGTAAGTTACAATAAATTAATTACTTACTGCAATTTAACCTTGCATTCTTGATGCTGAGCGGCTAAATATTTGCGGCCACATTTCAAGCTTTAGTCACTAGTAATTCTTGGACAGGTACTGCATTATCTGGTTGTAAAGTATTTTCTATATTTTTCCCATTTTATTAGCATGATCCTAAACCATAGATATATATATATATGGTTGTTGTGTTCTGATGTTATCAGTGAAGTATCCTCTAAGCATTTGTTGAGTATGTGAGTAACGAATTACATCACAGTTCTAAGCAATGTAGCATGCCCTTGTAGTCACTTCTCTATTTGGCTGTCATTAGTTTTGCAGCACATGTATGTTCTGATATACTCTTCTCATAAATGTTGGCTTTACTGCTTCAAGAACTCCATTTTCACCTTGTGCTTTAATCCTGTGCAATCTGAGATCATAAACTAGGCCTTAAAACTAAGCCATGAAACACATATTTGGTCCCCCCCCCCCAAACACACATGCTCTCGGTAGTGGTGTCCGGTTTTTATTGCCGGGGATCCCGGGACGGGGCCCTCCCTGGCTATGTAGCTTAACAGCAGATGGGAATGGGAAACAACGAAATGGCATGGTATGTTCATTATGTCTTGCTATTACTAGTGTTTCAGTTGTATTGACATGTTGCTGTCTTATATTTGATTGTGTCTAGTGCTATGTTGCTGTTGTATATTCATGTTTGTTGAAAGTAGCACTTAACTGCATGGGTTCCCTAATAAGACACTAAAATGGAGAAGCGACATCAGTATTTGCATCAAAATCCTATGATTATGTCCGTCCAGTTTCCCATTACTTTTCATTTGGCCTAAAATGTTTATTTCCTTCACCTGGTAGCAATGCTTTCACTTTCATGCACTTAAATAGTACATATGCCTGGAATGGGTATATTGCTGCCACTTGGCCTCCCTTTCTCTCCCTGATTTTGCCACAGTGACGGGGATGCCTAGGACTTGAAACACGTTCTCCTGTATCTATATTGAATAGTTCTTCAGCAATGCACATACTTTAGGAGGAAACTGTTTGTAGTGCTTATACATTTTCCTCCTCTTGCTCTATTGTCTGATTGTACCATGTTTTTATTACATTATTCACAAACTTTTCTCTTGACAAAGGATTCTGAGTCTATTATTCTTACAGGGAAACTAGTGCTAATAGAGGGTCTAAATCTCCTCCTCGAAATGGTGAGTTCTACCTGCGTCTTTGTTATGCATTGAAAACAGTTTTAGCTCGTGCTACAATTTTAAGCTGCTTCACTAATTGTTTGAAAAACTTGAACTGCAGATATTGGCAATGAGGAGCTTGATCAGCGCCAGAACAAGCCTAGGAGGTAAGATCCTTTTCAACATTTTTGACTTGCAAATCACTTGTATTTGTTACGCAATCTTATGCAAGCTATGCTCTTGTGTTGCAGATACTCAGAGATGAACTTCAGCCAGTGAGGCATCTTGTAAGGTGGACTGCATCTGAATAAGCTGCTTATGGTTAGTTACATGTTTCGTATTTTGTGTATCAACTTCTTTTTTCTCTGTGGTTAAACTTATCTGTAGCTTATTTAATATGCAGGCCCTATTTAGGCCCTTTGTGATCTCCAGTTCTGATCTGGAGCACTTTGGGTGGCTTTGGTACCCTTAATTATGTTAGGTAATGTCTTGCTTTAATGCTTTTATACATGTTTGGAGCTTATAAGAAAATGCATGTGTTTCGACAGAGGAATGTATATGATTCCGTTGTTCACTGTGCTTAATTTGAAATACAACATCATTGTGCACACCGTCCAGCTTGTTTTTTTTTCTTTTAAATTCCATTCGTTAATTTCTTTCTAAGATATATTTGTACTTTGTTGAAGCATCAATTGAATGACTAGAAGGGATTTAAGAAGAAAACTGCATTGTCATTTGGTCTTGCTTGGAACATATTGTATAAGCTATCGATAACACTTTCTATCCTAATCGTGGTCATATTGGTCAGTGTGAAGCTACAATTGTATCTGAATTAGACTTGCACTGCTGTGTTCCGTCAATTGATACCAGTTGTGACTCAAATGATACCAGTTGTGACTCAAATACCAACATTAATTCTTGGCATGGATGTTTCACATGGTTCTCCAGATCGAATTTGAATTGTAAATTTAAATTTTTTTTGGCGGAAAAATGATTTGTAGGGGCGGTTGGTACTGTAGCCGTCCTTACAAATCGATTTGTAGGGGCGGCTGGTATTCCCAGACCGTCCCTATAAATCGATTTGTAGGGGCGGCTATAGCACCAACCTCCCCTACAATTCGATTTATAGAGACGGTATGGTAGGAGCGGCTGGCCGAACCGTCCCTACAAATACTTATTAGCCGTCCCTATAACCCATATCTGAAGTAGTGCTATCTTTGTATCCATCCGTGCCCGACCGACCGCAAAAAGGGAGCCTGCATACACGGGGATTCCCATGGCTCTATTCATTAATATTGCCGCCATTGCTCTGCCCTCCCTCTCCCTGCAGGGTGTACATGCATCTAATATGTGTGTAAACCTCCAGGCCTGCATGAGAGAGAGAGGGAGGGAGAGGTAGAAGAGAGCACAAATTAAAATTATAAAATGTTATACAACACATATGTGTTTTAGAAAGAAAAAAACACATGGATTTTTTTTATCTCTCTCCCTCTCTCTTTCTCACCGGTGACCACCGGCGCCGGCGACGGCGATCGGCGAGCTCGCCCCATCGCCTGCGCCTGCGCCGGCCAAGGCAGTGGCGGTGACGGCGGCGGCGGCGATGGATCTATGATTTGTCCTTCCATAGAAAAAAAAATTGTGATCTGTGATCTGTGATCTGTGGAGGCTGGAGGCTAGAGGTAGAAGAAGGGTGAAGGCTGTTGAATCTTAATCCTATAGTAAAAAAAAATCATGTATTGAAACTGCATAAAACACATGGTTGTGCATGTAGTAGACAAATTCTTTTTTTTTGACTCTGCTAGTTTCACTGATTACAAAAATAATTGGCAAAATAGTTTCTAAAATGCATGAAATGTCTATAATACCATTATAATTTTTATCCTTATTTATTTCTTTGTTAATAGTTTCTTTTTTTATGTTTTTTCTCGTTCCGTTTTCTCGTCCTATTGGCTTTGCGCCGGACCTCACCCTACACCTAGGGATCTAAGGATGGACCGGGAGGAAGATATTTTTTTCAGCTCTATCTCGCGTGTTCAACTCTTCTCGACGCGATTTGCAAGTAGAGTTAGGTGAAGCCATTGGTCGTCTTTCCGTTTGGTTGGAGTAAAAGAGCCGGGCGTGGAGCAGCTCACACAGCGCTACCAAATACAAAATGAACTATAATTTAAGACCGATGCATTATCATTTATAGTAACTACCAGGACTTTTATATACACCCGACTTGCACGATGGCATTACATTTATAGTAACTAGCCGTATAGGAGACAAAAGCTGATGTTGGCATTCACGTGGCACACTTTCATTATTGCTTACTATGCTTATAGTCAATAATGCATGATGTTGCGGTTACTAGTCGATCTGGATTAAAAAAATAGGTCATGCTTGGTGCAATTAGGTTCACCAAAGAGTCATCTTGTTACATAAATTAGAAAAGATACAAAGAACCTAGAAATGCTCTTAGAATATATACACAGGGGCCGTCTCATCACCTGAACTGTGCCCGTCCTAGGATATATAGCTAGCCCAGCGTACGTAGTATACCAATCAACAACAACATATGCACTCATCGACATTGCTGGCTCTTGTTCCACTGGGCGAACATCTTCTATATCTTATGCGCAGTTTAGAGAGTCATCCTCGATCTCTATATTTCGCTAGCGAGAAATCTAGAATGGAGAATATCTATATTTGAATATCTAACTGAAGAGACTGTTGGAGGATATTTTTTTCTCTAAAATCTCTATTCCTCTAAATTAGGAAAGATATAAAGAACATTTTAGATATGCTCTTAGAATATATACACAGGGGCCCGTCTCATCACCTGCACTGTGCCCGTCCTAGGATATATAGCTAGCCCAACGTACGTAGTATACCAACCAACAACAACATACGCTCTCATCGGCACCGGTGGCTCTTGTTCCACTGGGTGAATCCTTCTATATCTTGTGCGTAGTATAGAGAGCCATCCTCGCTCTTTATATTTTGCTAGCGAAAAATCTAGAATAAAAAATATCTATATTTGAATATCTAATTGAAGAGACTGTCGAAGAATATTTCTTTCTATTCCTCAAAATTAGGACAGATATAAAGAACATTTTAGAGATGCTCTTATAATATATATACACAGGGGCCGTCTGATCACCTACACTGTGCCCGTCCTAGGATATATAGCTAGCCCAACCTACGAAGTATACCAACCAACAATAACATAAGCACTCATCGGCACTGCTGGCTCTCGTTCCACTGGACGAACCACACTGTACACAGAGCAAATGGCTAGCTAGCTAGACAATCGACCCAGCAGCAGCCATGGCTGGTGGTGGTGTTCAGCAGGTGGTGGCCGTGCTCGCGGTGGTGGCGCTCATGGCGGCGGCGGCGGAGGGTTTCATCTCCAAGAAGACGTGGAGCGCCATCCGGCGGGCGGACCGCGACGGGCCCTTCGTGGGGCTGGTGGTGCCCAACGCCTACGAGATGGAACCCGTCCTCAACTCCCCCGACCTCAAGCCCAGCAACAACATCCCCATCCTAGATGTTCAAGGTAACCTAGCTAAGCAGCAGCAGCAGCAGCAGACGATTCTCCGAGCATGCACACAGTGACACAGCATAGGTGGAGACTGGAGAGAGCCGTCCGGCCATTTTCCCTTTAACTTCCACCAAGGTTTTCAAACCGATTATGTTTATTTTTTTTACAAGGGATCGGATGGTAAGAGCTTTGCCGTTAGATTATGTTAGACGAGGAAAAAAAAGGTACACATAAAGGTACACATAACCAGTCCTGCCAAATCCCACTACCCAAACTAAGGAGGCAAAAAGAAACTAGTATATGCAACTACATGGTAAACGGGGCTCGGCCCGGGAACCAGGACAACCAACATTAGAACCAAATTAAGGCAAGAAACAACTAGAACCGGTAAAAACACACACAGCTGAAACAACCTCAAAAGGAACAGGAAAACAAGCTAAGAGGTGTTGACACTCTGGTCTCCACGCCAACTGGAATTGTTGTATATATGTTATTTTTGCAAAGTATTGCGACTTGTCTTGGTTTCGGATTCTTCTTTGCTAAAAAGTTCTTCTTTCCGCTCTTTCAAAATGTTCCACCAAATTATGTTTATTATTATGGTCAAGTTCTAAATATACGGTCAGTAGTTAATAATAACTAAAATCCTGAAAATATGCCACCAAAAATATATAGAGCCACATCGCAACAGGAGGAACACCCCTTTTAGCAAGGGATATATTCGTTGCTAGAGGTCCAAATAAATGTTGGTAAGACCAATACCAAGAGATGATACATGTATTGCTACTTCCTAGAGATTATGTTGCAAAGGTCTTAACGCATATGCAAGCGTCGGTAACATTTGCATATATGTTCTGCAAGATAGCAACGGATATACATATATGTTCCGCCAACAAATTTATATGTTGCTAACTAAATAAGCCGTATGCTTTCTGGATCCACCATTACAAACATATACATATTTTTTGAAGTGAGAAGTCAATATAGATTTAACAATTACTTGTACATACGTCATAACATCCATTAGCCCTGGGTTAATAGGCCATTAGACAAGTAAAGCTAACATATATTCTTATTTCAATAATAAATGATTCTGTACGGAGAAGAAAAACGCACAATGTATAATGGTATATTATTGTATTCCACTAAATACAAAACTCCGCACCAAAAATAAAATGTACATCAAATCCGAAATAAAAAGCTGTTCTTGTGGGAAAATCTTGGCGTACTTCATCCATCATAATCTGAAATCCAAATATGGCCCATTTGCCCTGCATGAAAAATATAAGAATGCTTTGGTAAGAGCATATATGGAAGCACACTCTAGTTTTTCCCCCATTTGCTTGAATCACAACCAGAATTTTAGATTTCTCTTAATGATGTGGGCTTCTCATAGTGTTTTGACATTCAAAATTTAGTAGATACTTTTCCTACTAAATGTCTCCTAGTGAGATTCCCTTGTGCTATGACTAGTGGTAGTGTTTTATTACTACTTAAAAATACTAGGAGAATTCCATCATTTTGGTAGTGAATTTACAAATCTCTACAAAGGGAATTATTAGTAATCTGTTTCGTGACCTAACTTTTTTGTGCACATACATATAAAAGTAACTGGGCTGAATTAGTGAAATTCTAAAAAATAAACGAAATAATTCAATGTTACAAATTTATATTTTAGCAAAAAAATGTCAATGGCGAAAATTTATAAACATTTAATGATGTACCTTATATATATCTGGATCAGTCTGTACAAGCAATACTGTCTTTTTGGCAATACCTGCATAATAAGAAGCTCGCAAGCAGCAATTATATATAGTATACATGACAAAAGCATGACCTCTAGAATTCCGTATGTTCCTTGGACATATCCCAGTTTTAAGTTCAATGATAAGGAATCATTCAGACATATATGTATATATTACTCAGAATATGAGTCAACTGATTAAGTGCTAAACAAAACTAGATATATAGACAAATATGTTCAGTAACATATATTTTTGTGAACTCAAACTAATTTATGACGTGGTATAAAAGCCAAAAGGTCAGCATAGAAAATACTAGTTGAAGGTCACAGCACAAGAAATGTAATGACAATAATGTTTCCAATAATGCGAATAGTAATAGTAGATTTTCAATCCCTCGTATTTACAGTGTCATGGTTCGAATTAACTCTTTTTCTTATGATATATATAATTAATTAACAGATGCAGTGTGTGTATATAAAAATATAATATAATGCTCTTACAATCACTGTTGGAAATTTTTCTTCGAAGGGCGACGATTCCGCTTCGGAACCATTGGAGGCCAAAACGTTGTCATGGTCATGACTGGGCTGAGCATGGTATAAATTCATCTTTTTCCACGTGTACGTGTGAAAATTTATTTGACGACTATTTTCCTAAAACGAATCTGGCAGCAGAGAGCTGTCGATTTTATTTGACCACACAGTAAATAATCAATACTACTTTTGTCGATCTGTGGCCTGCACTGCAGCTGAATGCAGGGCTCACAACCCAGCTGCTGCTGAGCCTGTTCAGGGTGAAGGGCATCGTGCACTGGGGCATCGCCGGCAACGCCAACGAGGACCTCCAGATCGGCGACGTGACCATCCCCGAGTCCTGGGCGCACTTGTCCCTGTGGAACTGGCAGAGGCACGGCGACGGGCCGGAGAACGAGCTGCCGCTGGAGGGCGCCGGCGACTACACGAGGGAGTACGGCTTCCTTAACTTCTCCGACTACACTGTCGGCCAGGCCAACCCGGAGCTGTCGGCGAACACGCTGAACAGCGTGTGGTACCAGCCGGAGGAGATCTTCCCGATCTCCGGCACGCCGGAGGAGCGGCAGCACGCGTTCTGGGTGCCGGTGAGCAAGCGCTACTACAAGCTCGCCGGGAAGCTGGAGGGGCTGGAGCTGCCGGCGTGCGTGAACGCGACGACGTGCCTGCCCCGTGCGCCCCGGGTGACGCGGGTGCCCCGGGGTTGCAGCGCCAACATCTACACCGACAACGCCAGCTACCGGCAGTTCATCCGCGCCCACTTCGGGTGCACACCCGTGGAGATGGAGAGCGCCGCCGTCGCGCTCGTGGCGCACCAGTACGGCGTCCCCTTCATCACCATCCGCTCCCTCTCCGACCTCGCCGGCGGCGGCTCCTCGCTCAGCAACGAGGCCGCCACGTTCCTCGACATCGCGGCCAAGAACGCCGTCGACGTCATGCTCAAGTTCGTGCCCCTCCTCGGCCGCGGTGGCGAGCAGGAGCAGGCCGACGGCCTGACCGAGGACATGTAATCTAAGGCGGGCCGGGAGACAGATCGACGACGCTGAGCAGTGCACGTCGTGGTACAATGCAATTTCGTCCTGTAAGGTTTTTATAATTATATTCCCGCCCACAAATAACTTGTCTCGCTATTGCAAACCTAATCTTCGGTGGAATAAATAAAATTGGTTGTCGTGCCCATGTTTTTCTATAGGTAATAATTTTAGGAAACAGATGTCCGTCCGCCACGGACGCTCTGTTGGTGGTCCGCTGGCCCAACTATCCCTTCCTATCCACTCGGGAGTTTAAAAAGAAAGAGTCAATCTTCACCCTCTTCCTTCCCCATTGCGTCGCAGCTCACGCTGCCTGCGCGCAGCGCCGCACCATTGCCCGCAGCCACGTGCCCTCACTGCCTCCTCGCTGCTCCAACTCAGCATCATGTTGTCGTTCCTGCCCACCTGCCGCGCCGCCCATGCTTGCCCCTTGAACTCGGGGTGGGAGCCAAGGACCGTTGGTTGCTCTTCTTCTTAGATCTGTCCGTCGCCTCCTTGAACTGAGATGTGGACGCCATCTTCTCTGCTCCTCGCCCCGGGTCGCTGCCTCCGGTGAACTCCACATGCCGATGAATCTTCATTCTCCCAAGCAGGGAGGAGTGTTGCGCTGAAAGCGCATGTTGCAAGCGTATGTTTAAGTGTTTCAGATGTTTCAGAGACATGTTGCAAGTGATTCATACGGATGTTGCAAAAGTGGATTGGAATGTTGCATATGTTGCAATGGTTGTACATGTATGTTGTAAGCTTCTGTTCCATTGTTGTGGCAGGGCCACCCAATTTAACCTAATCCCAAGTATACTTGTTAGCCATTTGACACTAAATACGCAAGAGATCAAGTTAAACCCGGTAGTCTATCTAGTACACCCAATGGGAGAACTCGAAAATCCACGTTTTCATCGGGATCATAAACAAGTGAATAAAGCTTACAACATTCTTAACCATTTCATACATCATAATGTTACATAAAATCAGAGTTATGACAAAACAGATTTCATAAAAATAGCGAAAGAAAGGTCATTTAATACAAAAGCAGCAAAAATTTAATAGTTTTGAATATTGAAGTAGAAGTAGAGATTTAAGAATAAGGTGCTACCGATAGCGGCGATAGAGGAAGTCTCGCTGAGCCCACCGGAGATATCCGGACATAGCAGCGATTAGTCTGCAAAGCATCCACTGTTACTCTACAGCGGGGGAATAAAACCCTAAGTATATAATGTACTCCATAAGACTTACCCGACTAGGTGGGAGTAGTCTCTCGACTCTCAAAGATATGATGGGGCTATTTGGCTATTTGTTTAGTTATTTTTCTAGAGAAGCATTACTAATGGTGCATCCTGGTATTCAAGGTTTAGCAGTCACATCAAGCTCATTACTTAACCATTTTAGGTAAGCACATGTACTACTTTCAAGCATGTAGTAAGCAATCAAAATATATTTCATGATCTAGCGATAGTCTTATTATCATTTCAATATTCCGGTTGCATTAGCTACGATGATAGTGAAATGACAAGTGGTATCCATATCGAGAGGAGGCGGTGATTGCAATCGATGTACATCGAGATGGGTAATCCCAAACACACGCCTGCGTACTTCTCTCGACACAAAGCATGTACAAGGCAACCATTCCAACTGTATGACCAAGACCGAAATGACCTAACCACACAGGAACCCACCCTATGAGGCTGCCCCATGAACAAAGCAAGCAGGTTCCCCCTCATAAGTTTGACCATGGACATTCCCTCCAAAAACAACCGCTAGAATGGCCAAAGAAGCACTCCGGTGAATGTTTTGCGCACCTTAGTCATAAGGAAGTACTAAGCTTCACGGTCAACTGTAACTCAGACCCCTGTTATGTATTTGGTACCTTCAAACTTGTTAAATGGCTACCAACAAATGGTCCTTAATCGACACAAGCGGGAAAAATACAGCCAGAGCCTCGCTTTGTTGCTATAACCAACCATAACCAAACCAAAGTCCTCAATCCCGCCCGGTCTCCAATTATTACCCAACATCTCAAGTCCATGTGATAGTAGTAACATAATAGCCATGACCTATCTCTCGTGAGTGATAGTTCATCACCCGACTTCTGCCGTAGGTCCTATAGCATGGCATACTACATGATTCCTATCATACTAGTAGGACTTATAGGATAGAATATTTATGCAGGTGGATTTCAAGCAACTCCTGCAACTTAATGCACAAACAACAGAATAATAAGTGCTTGAAAAATATGGGTTATGCACGGGGGCTTGCCTGGGTAACTTATTAACACTAAGTTAGTTAGCTCCATCTTCAACATGATCTGCCATCATCTTCAGGACCGGTCACCATTACACCCTCTTCCCGCTTGATGCCAACATCCTTAAGTTGATCCATCGATTCATCATCGTTCATAAATGCAATGCAATGCTTAAGTCAAACAAGCATACACATAGGCATTACAAACTTAAAAAGACAATCAACACATCCAAGGGTGACTAGAGTAGCTAATTGTCGTTAAGAATCACTCTCATACTCTCCTCGAAACATTACTCGCGAGTTGATTATTGCATTAAACACACAAGTGCAGGACCAAGCAATATGTCGTGCACATAACCACTACTAACCAGAGTTAAGTAATATTTTACTTAGCTAATAAGTAGCACAAACAATATATAAAGTATGTGGTAAACATAAGTTTAAGCACTTATTAAACTTGATGGTTTAGTTACACATAAACATGGAATAAAAAGGTGTTGCACCGAACATCTATTTTGGAGATAAAAATTTTTATGGGAGGCACATCTTAACCAAACAAAGCTACTATATGAATTTCATAATTTCTGGATAAGCAGATTATTTACTAGAATTTAATTAAGACTTAATGGTAATAAAAGCATGTGACACATGACAAATCAATAACTCAGTAAATATACATTCAATGGACATGAAATTTTTACCCTAGCACAAACATGCAATAATTAACCTACCACGAAAATTGCATAGCAATTGGATTCATATAAATGTAGATATGAATTTAGCTCTAAAAAATCATAGGCAACCATCTATAGCAAAACTTTTATATTAAAACATGTCATATTATGTTTCTAGTGTATAAATCTAGTTGTGTGGAGTGCAACAAAACTGGTCTGACATTTTTATGATTTTTCTATGATTTACTATGAATTATAGAAGTTTCATCCTATTTACACATATAAAAGAAAAAGATAACAGGAAAAGGAAAACACATTTTGCGTTGGGAACCCTGGAGTTTCTACTAAGCCAAGAAGGCCCTTTCACCTTTTGTTTGTCTCTGGTACTTTTTCAACAGGAACCCTGGCTTTCTTTCTATTTCCTTTTCCACTCCTTCTCATGCTCGTGCAGAGCACGCACGTACGGGAGAGGGCGCTCGATTCTGGCCGGAGGAGCTCCGATGGTGGCGACTCGACGACCGGAGAGGCATGCAGGGCAGAGGCAACCCCGGCCTCGTGTGTGGGCGACTACGGCCCGCCCAGCTGTAGCATGCAGGGGCGCGATGCTGTAGTGGCAACAGAATCGTGGCTCTGGCCTTGTTAGGTTCGAAGAGGGTGTGCACGGAGACGCGGAGACTGCGGTAGACGTGCCGGTGGTGCTGGCTAAGCGCGAGGTGGTGGGAATGGCGGGGGCGATAGCTCGGGTCCAGCCATGGCGTCCACGTGCGCAAGAAAAGAGCAAGAGGGCGGGAGAGAGAGAGCTTGGGCTCCTTTTAAGCGCAAATGCAGGAGGCAGCACAACGTGAGCGCGGTGTGGCGCGGGTAGAGGTGGCCTCGGCGCTACATGGTGGCCTGGCGTCGCCATGGTGGCCTGGCGTCGCCATGCGCATGACGTGGGCACACAGAACAGGGCGTGGCCATGAACATGGCAGGGTGTGGGCAGGGCAACACGACTTGACCACATTGGGGCCACAAAACATCACATTCCGTGCACATGTAGACCCGATGACTGTAACAAAAGTTCTTCACCTCGGTTCAAACTTCAACTTTGGTTAAGAGTCTAAGGTCGTTGGGGCATTGGATTAGCGGGTAATTAGGGACAAAGTTAGCAGTGTCAGTGAAGACACTAAGCACTAGAAACTTTATGTCTCCAGGAAACATCATTTTATTCAAACTTTGGAGCATGGTGATGGCAGTTAACAACCATTATAAACTGTAAATATAACATGTATAAGGGTATAAATATAATCACCAACAAAGGTATAGGGGTTTAAACTAATAATTTCCATGAGTTTTGGTGAATCTGTATTTTCTACAGGGTTTATCTAGAAAACCATCAAGGTGGACCAAGATGTCAGATTTAATCACGCTTATCCAAAGCGAAAACAACTCCAGAAAGTTTCAGAAGGCTTGAGAGGACTCCACACCGAAGCGGAGAGCGAGACGCCACTAGGTGGGGCTGGTCGGCCCCTGGAGCCCACCTGTCAGCCTCCCATTATTATATCGGTTCTCCACCGCCTCCTAGATTGCATCTACGCCGTTTATTCAAATCGGTTTGATCAGAGGGCTCAGGATTGATGCTCTGGCTTTGTTATACCAGCCCTTACCCCCTCCCTCAGGCATTACATAAGTTATTTTGAGAAGACAGAAACCCTAATCATCCTCAGAGCTCCACCATATTCTAGGGCATAGCTAGTTAGGCTAGGTCTAAAGGGAGGCAAGCAGACTTCGCTTGGATTCCTAATCTTGTCAAGAGCGTGGTTTGGTATAATCTTTGTACCCCCTCTCTTTTCTATCTCCATTACTTTTATATGTTTGTTACAATTATTATGACAACATTGGTATTCATATTACTCATGTTCTTAGTTATGATGTTCATCGTTTACTTTGATTATATACTTATTATAGCTAGTTTATCAAAATGTTTATGCATAAGTTCGTATAGCGCTTGCTCCGGTGTACATAGGGTGAGTGGTCGATATTGTGTAAGCGTGGTGCTTATACGTTGTTTACCTGCAGATACACCCT